ATTATAATTTCTAGGAAATATTTTCTCCTCTTCATCGTGTTATTTACTCTTATTATATCTTAGTAGAAATATGTTAATAAACGTCAAATAATAAATTAGAATTATTATAACGAAATTCATCTTAAATCTTTAGACAAATAGAAATCTGTCAAGAAGACATAATTCTATTGTATGTTAGAAGAAACAAATTTTTGTGATTCATCAATCATCTTATGTATCACCGTACAAATCTTGACTCTATTCATCACGACGAAATTCATTAAAAAGACAAAGATTTAATGACTTTCAGAATATGCAAGTGAAGCAACTAATCTAACTATGCAATAGTTTGACAAATTTTTTCTATAAATTATAAAAATACGTAAAACTCTCAACAAACTTGTACAGATATTAAATTTTAAGCAATGATTAAGTACTTTTACGTGCAATATGAAAAGTATTTATGTACAAAATCTTTCTCAAACAACAATAACAAATAAATATAATAAATATAAGATTTTTATTTTATTGGATCAATGTATTAACGTAATCATGCCTTTTACGAAGTAAAAAATAAAAAGACGTACAAACTCAATATTTATGTGAACTTTATACAAATTATTTAATGAAAATAATACTCATTACTCGAAATATTCCGAAAGATATATTTTTATTTAATTATAAATTATGAACGCTTATCTATTTCGACTTCGAATTAAAATAAATGTATTTTATTTAAAAATTTGATAAAATAATAAACATAGGATCATTTATTTCAACCATCTTACAATGTAAATAGGATAAAAATTAGTTTTAATAGGTAACAATTACAGGAGTTGTAATATTTTACTTTTAACACGCGTAAGAATTGCTATTAATTTGTAGGATAAATTTCAAAATCTTCATCGTTTAGCATTTAATATCCTAATAATATCAATAATACTAGGCTTAAACATCATTCCATTATTCGACAAATATTTATTTACAATGGCATCTTGTATACAACTGAGTGTGTTATTATGAAAAACATCAAAATGTATAATCGATTTATATATCGTAATTGGAAAATTACTGAAAAATTAATATAATTGTCAATGATTCATTACATTAAATAACTTTAAATACTATGCTCATTTATTATAATATTGAATTTCATGTATACGCTGAGTAAATATCTTAATTGAACTCACACTTGGTACAAAATGAAGTTTCTTAAGCTAAAAAGAGTAAAATATCTTGTAAAATTTAATACAGGAATTGTCTTTGAGTAAAAAGACTATTACGACTTTTAAAAAGAATTACAACTGATAACAAGTAGATATTCCTAGTATTTTTAAGCTGAAAATTTAACCTAATAAAATCATTATTAACTAATACAAATTATACGTTAAAATAAATTAAATTAAATTATAAAATATTAATGTATATTTTAATAAGCATTATGAGTTCATAATATACATTAAGCTTTTATTTCGCAAAGTAAGTACACATAAATAGCAAAATATTGTGTATATGAATATTTTCCAATAAAGATGAACTCGAACTATAATTTTCCTGTATATTAGTAATTGTAATGTGAATTACAGACAAGATTAATATAATATATAATTTTTTAATTAATAGAAATATTAATATCTAATTATTGTGTGTATATATGTAATTGCTTGAAAAACTTATTATTAAGGAGAATAAGATACAAAAATTTCTTACCACAATAATTATGATCAAAAGTACTATTGATATATGTATATATATATATATATATAGTGTATTAACTCATTGATAGTGGAGCTTGGAAAAAGTCGACGCATTCAAATTCTATAGTTGATGGAAAATTTCTTGACTGAGAATTGTCTCAAGTAGCATCGGTTAATAAGTACTCATAGGTAGTTCAACAATATAATGAAAGTAGCACGTCAACTTAATTACCATAAAAGATACATACAACGGGCGTACAATGCTCAATACAGGGATAGTAAAAATGTTGCCAATAAAATTGTAATACATTTATGGGTATTAAGTTTCTAATGGACTGTGGAGCTAAATACTATTTCGTTAACATTTATAATAAGAGATATAATGAATAGATAAACGATGAGAATGATGTGTAAATTGATATTATGGCATGCATATGGCATAATTATATTCAATATAAATAGCTAAATACTTTAATGTTCTAATGCACATGGAATACAAAAGAAACTTTACTATTATAACAATATTAAAACGCTATTCCATATAGTATTACTATATAAATAAATAACGTAAATATGTTTGTTTATTTATTATTTATGTATTGTTTTATTTGTTTATTTATGTTTATACTTTTGGATTATATAGTCTAATGTATTGAGCTTAAAATAAAAGCATTCGAGTAAAACCAGATATACACTTAAAAATTATTTCTCCTCAAATCCTGGACAGTCGATGCCGAATAATCAAAGTAACTTAAATTTCAGCAAATTTTATTTTTCTTCAAATACATATTTTTATAATAAATTTATTGATAAATTGAATGCATTCCCGTTGAAAAAAGGTGTTAAAAAAGTCATATGTATCGTTATTTAATAAAGATGAAAACGTTTAGACCATAATTTGATACATTTTTCCAACATTTTTAAACAAGTAGCGATGAACGATGGAAACTGTTTTAAAAAAATCCCTACTAAAGAACATGAAAGGGATACATACGTGCAAAGGAGTTTGCCAATTTTGTAAAAAGAGCCAGTATTTTTTAATGTAAAATGTAATCTGTCCTTAAAAGTCTGCAGACTTGCTAATTACCAAGAAGTTTCAAAGTAAAAGAGCAAGTAATACAGAATATAATTGTAAGGCATTTGAAAGGAAAAAGTACCACTGGACTCGTTTACGAAGAACTAAGAATAATAGCATCCTCTCTCTCTCTCTCTCTCTCTCTCTCTCTCTCCTTTTTCTCGCGTGCGTATCTCTGCTCTCGATAGCTCTACACAGTCCACTCGTTTTGCATTAATTAGCCAGAAAAAGAGGAACCCCTTTTCTCTACGAGAAAGACGTCACATTAATGCTTGGCTTATCCGATTCCCCGGAGGAGCCGAGAACTACTCGGACATGCATTCTCCTCGCGAATTGGCACGTACCACCCCACCTTCCCCACCTAATCACCGCCATTTATAAATCTACGCGAGGCAATGCACGCGATAAATTACGGAGGTCGGAGGTTGTTGGGAGGGTGATCGGCATCCCCCGCTTGCGAACGCCTCCGCCTAACTACCGACTCGCTAAGGGGAAGAGAACTAGACGAAGCGGTCCAGCCGTGCAAAGTGGGTCAATGGCGGCTCTTTTACGAGCTGAGCCGAGCCTCGCTGCTAATCGCAATTGCAATTCACTGTACACGCTCGATCGGGCACCTTCCGACACCCCGATTAACGCACGACCTCCTGACCATTTCGCGGAGCACCTCTAACACCTCCCGTCCTTCCGCCATTCCACCCTCTTCCTTGTTTAGGTTTTCCCCCCTTTTTCTCCCTTTTTTCTACAACCTTCAGACTCCTGTGAGCGATAAAGCGAGGGAACTACTACGAGGCCTCGAATTTGATTATATGGACGGATGGAAGCGGATGATTTTCATCGCGGCCTCTTATCGTCCTAAACGCAATCTCAGCTAAATGCCACACTATTTTAATTCCGCAAGCTGGATTAATTGGGATAAAAGTACCTTGGAAAATTACAATGCCTGACCAACGGTCTGGTCAATCTAATCAATTCGAAAAGTTAACGTTTTTTTTTTTTGTTTTTTTTGTGGGATGTTAAATCAAAGTCTCCTAATGATGTTATCTGCTTGTGGTATGACCGTACTGCGTACTAAATTAAAAATTGGCTGAGATAATTATAATTTATGTTGAAATTTTTATCAGAAAGAGTCGAGAGTACTTGGTAAATTGAAACGTAAATATTCGCTCGCTTATCGGTAAGTAAAACCTTAAATGCACTTGAATATTCATGGTCGTAACAATGGCACTATCGTCGTATTCCAAGCTGCGGGTAAAAAGTGCTTGTTAGCGCATGAAATATAATAAGCTAATCTATCATTATTCGTGCATCGAAAATAACGTTGTAATGAATAATGAGTGAAAATGAAAAATAATAATTAATAAGTGGTAAATAGGAGGCTAAAATTGCCGACTGTGGGGCTCGAAGGATGAAAATGACAAGGTAGAGGAACGGGAACAAGGATATAGCGACTAGCCAAGACTAAGTCGGAAACAATTTTTTCGGCTAATTTGCGTAAATTCTGCCGCTGCTCGCTGAATATCACGGACCATTAACGCGGATAAGCTTTATCGAGCCGAGCGAACAACTTAGAGAGTTCCCAAAGAAGTGTCAGAATCAGTTTCGTAGCATCGAGCCTCTCTCTCTCTCTCTCTCTCTCTCTCTCTCCGTTGTAAGACTTCAAAAACAAAAAAAGAAATTCACTAACTTTGACCGCACTAACGCACGAGTACGAGTTCAATTATTATTTCAACGATCGTGTACTTTGTCGGAAGAATGGAAAGAACTTGCTCGGAATACGCAACCATTTGTCAAAATTCAACGTAAATTTCACAAATTTCCTTCAATTGTATTGGCTTTATAACCGACTCGGTTCTCGATTCTCGGTCACTCGATATAACCGACTTCTTCTGATTTTCAAATTTCATGAATAGTCAGAGCCCCAATTGCTTTATTAAACACAACAATACCTCGTACATAAAGGATAAATACGTAAACTGTTAACAATTTAAGATTGAACATTGATCTTTAAACGAACGGAATATAAAGATTTCAAAAAATTTCGACTAATCGTAAAATAATTTTGCGTGCGCGTGTGCGTATAAGCTCCGTAGTAATGAAAAAGTAAACAATATGAAAAGATGCCTGAGACCTTAATGGCGACTTTCCAGATGGCGAATGAAATCAACTTTAAGCTAATCTGACATTTAGCCTCGCCGTCTAAATATATACGCCCGTACAAAGCGCTAAGGAAATTCACTTGACTGTTTCAGGATTAAAGACTATCATCAACGCTTTGCTGCACAGTTTCAAACAACTCGCCGAGGTAATGACACTCACGATCTTTTGCCTGATGGTCTTTGCACTTTTCGCCCTGCAAGTTTATATGGGCGAGCTCAGAAATAAGTGCGTCAAGCACATGGAGCCCAATGCCACTCCCGTCGATTGGAGAGAGTAAGCTGTCATCATCCTTCAATTCAGTTACCCTTTACGCTCCTCGATTATCAATTTTCGGGAAAATTTATATTTTGACAGTCAATATAAGTTTATGTCTCACTGCTTTCTAGATGCCGGAAAAGCTTACGTTGACATATTGATTATGCTATCTAAATAAATTTTTTTTGTTTTTTGTTCTTTGTTTCTTTTGCATTGCAATATTACCAAATAGACAAATAAAATCAAGCCTTAATAAGGAATATTTCAAAACTCTGAATAGAAAAAAATCCAAAATTTTAACATAAATCTTTCATGATTTTACATAATTATACAAATGAACGTATTATTAAACGGATAATTTTCATTATACATAATTTCGTGTAAAAGATGAGAATACATTTTAAATCATATATATATATATATATATATATATATATATATATATATATATGCATCTATAAATCATTATTTTGATACTAACCTTTTATTTACAATTGTTCATATTATCAATTATACAAATCAATATCAATATGGATCTTTGCTATATAATTGAAGTAAAAATCTGGGAAATTATAATAAATTTATGTTTTCATTCGTTCGCATAAATCTTTTAAAGCATTAAGCACCAAACATAAAAAGACGTCATGCTAGATCCAATGCAATCTACTTTAATATATAATCAAGTATTAAAAATAATATATTATATGAAAAATTATTGTGAACATTCTACGGCTTAGTAATCATTCGTATTCTTAAACAAATAAAATTTTATTATTACCTAAAAAAACAGCATATTTCGCTTATTAAAAGTAGCTGATCGTAATTTAAAACGTAATTTCTTATAAAAAGCAATTAAACCATATCATTTTATAAACTACATGTAATCAGTTGATCTAATGATACAGTGCAATGCACCATTTTCGAAATTATTACTACTCTTCATGTGGAATATCTAAAAATTACATTCGCACTACCGTTACATTATCATTACCCGTGCAATTTCCCTTAATTTAACAAACTTTATAAAAATGTACAAACTGCATTTTTACCTTTTTCACCAAATAAATTTTACGAAATTGCTTTTATATAGATCAGTGAGGAAACACACACACACACACGCACGCACACGTCAACTCGAAATAGATATTTTTATATAATACATTCAAAATATAACGAAATGAAACAATATAATATTTAATGAAATTATTGTGTTATATCAACAAGTTTTTTCAATTTGTATGATCAAAGTATTTTCATAAAATATTTTATTAGTACTATGACAAATATTTATGCAAATTTTACATACCTATGTATATGGTTAAAGTATACATGTAAAATAATGTACGAGTCCAATAATTTTATAATAATTTGAAAACTAAAATCAATTAATAATCTCTCTGTTGATAATCTATCGTTTATCTTTTTTTCTGCATTTTTATTCTTGCATTACGTGACAAAAGTACAATGTTATCATAAACTTTACAAATTTGTGTTTATCATTTTCTTGAATTTTCGTAATCATATTTATTTACATATAGATTATTGCATAAAACATATGAATTTTATTGGCATATGAATTACATTGTTTGCGATGTAAATTTTTCTATTTTTTGTTTTTTTCATCCACTATTCATTAAATGTTTATGACTTGATTTATCCATTTATCTTTCATTCTAACGTAATTTTACCATAATAAACTTTTATTGCAAAAGAAGCTAAAAAATTATGATAATTAAATCACTATATTCACGAATACTTTGTTACTAAAATTAAATCTTTTTTTAATTTATAACCGTGTGCCGTTGTTCGACTATCCATCAGATTTTAGAAAGAAATAGACATATATGTATTCCCAACAGTACACTAACCATATTTCATAACTAAAGTATATAGAAACAGAATGCGAAAAAGTCGGTAACAATAAATAAATAAATAAATTACCGAACGATAAACTTTTATGACATTAGAGTCAATTGTATAATATATACGTAGTTTTTATTATATTTTTTTTCTACTTTTACAATATATTTTTTAATTGTTTCGCGTCAGTTTTCTATGGCTTTTACATCCAATAATCATAACAAAATCATGTTCAAGCTTTACAAATGATGTTTAATTATATGATACATCGCATGTCATGATAATTTTTTTGTTCCCTGTATAAATTACATGTTCAAAATGTGCCGTTAAATCTTTTTATAGTTTTCAACGTAGTTATAACTCGTAAAATTTATATACACATTTGTAACGAAATAAATTCAAAATAATTTGATTTTTTTTTTAATAACTTTTTCAATATCATATAATTCAACCTCACGTAGTTATCGGATTAAAATCCTGTTAAATATTGGTTGATTCCTTATACATTAATTTCCAAAGCAAAACGTAATTCAATATCTGATGAAATATTGTTAATTTGATGGGATTTATATCTAAATAAACATAAAGATCGCAATAAAAATTTATGAAACCGAGTTTCGTGAAATTACAAAAATTTCTTTGATAAGTAAAACTTCAAAAATATTATCGATACATTTTGACAAATCTCTGTTAGAAATTTCTATTAAATGCAAGCATTATTCAAATTATAATATTGTGGATAAAAAAATCTTATAAAAATTTACTAAAGGTACATCTCAATAATATTTAATTAAGTGTATATGTACACATTTTACGTAAGATTACCGTATAAGTGGTAAAGTCCAAAAATCATAAGCTTTAAAAGTTAGAAATATTTACCTATGTTTTTGCAATTATAGTGTTCATTGTTAATAAGATAATGAAGAATAAAATCTCCTCATATAATATAAAATATTCATTTGGAAAAGGGTAACACGTGTGTGAAATATTTGCTATATGGAAGTGCTCCTCTATTAAATATATGTAGATGTATTCGTAAGAGAAACAATTTTAAAGTTTATTGAAATTTTATTTCTAATAGTATACGAGAAAGCTCGGTTATACTTAAACGTAAAATCTGTATACTTTGAAAAAAAATATTTTTCCCTTTTTTGGAAACTTGAGCGTATAGTCGCGTATAATAAAAATAAAAAAAAATATCTGCCATTTGCATAAACAATCTAAAGACTATAGCAATAATATAAAAATAGTCATAAGCATATATATATATATTGTTAATGATATGTTCTCTTTCTCTCATTTCTCCTTATTTCTTCCCTCTCCAACAGGTGGACTTGGAACTCTTCCAACTGGGCCTTCAACGACGATGAGGAGCCTATCATCTGCGGAAACGTCACTGGAGCCAGGTCAGTAACAATTTTCTTCAGTAACAAACCTCTCTCTCTCTCTCTCTCTCTATTTCATATTTTATTATTGTTACGACCTTACTTTTTCCAATTACAATACGGAAACCCTTACGTTTAAGTAATTACGTGCGCGCGATGCTTCATCAACCTTGCTGCCAACACTCCCACATCTGCTAACTTCTTCCGGGTAATTCCATTGGGAAGATCAATGAGATGTACAATCTGAGTTGAAACTCGGTCTTTCCGATCGCGAGGAACTTTGTATTCTTGATTAATGGTGACTTTTGCCACTTTTTATATGATCTTCATTGTTATAATTCCCTCTTCCCTCATTAAAATTGCATTGAATTAAGTACATCTAGCTTATAAAATAAGAATATACGTGGTTAAATTTTCGTTTCCCAGCTTCCAATAAAGTCATATCATTTAAATAATAAAAATAATAAAAATTATTAATCACTCCATAAAGGAATTTACATTCGCAGTAATTAAATAGCTGATAAGTTTGAATCCATTATAAATATAATTGAGATTATTAAAGATTTAAAAGTAAAAAAAAATATTGACTACAAAAAGCTTTTATAATGGGAAAAATTAATAAATTCATAAATAAAAATTTGTTGGAAAATATTATTGCGTACATAACCGCTTTAACAAATTCAACTAATATTTATAAATATTATATTACGTACCTTTATGTATAAAATATCAAGTACCTTAAATAATAATATACTGAAATTGAAAATTTAGCAGAAAATATAATGTTTCAATCATCATTGAAATTACATGTGTAAGATTTGTATTGCATTAAGTAGGTTATATGATAAATTTTCAAATTATTATACATCAAATTTTCAATTTAGAACCTTTTATATTGAAATATTCCCTTAAAGGGATACGTGAAAATATGGTCGCATTACAAATATTTGCAATTGACACGAAATAAATGTTATAGTTATTATCTTTATAAATGAAAATCTTACATAATAATACACGTAACGTTATTTATTACAAGACAATTAGAATACTATATTTTAACATTTTAACCTTGGTATTTACGAGCATAATTTAATTAATGATTTGTACTTCAAGTTTTTACAGATATTTACAAGACTATTTTCTCATTAAAATATAACTTGCGTGTTTATTTTCCACCATCCGGATAATATTAATATCAATTATTATACTTATAATTACGTGTAACAATTAGATAAAGAATTTTTCATGATTAATAAAAGCCAATATATAGTACAAAATAATACTATGTAAAAAAACTGCTGTTCAGTCTTTAATTATTATAAATCCAAATCAGTAGTAACAATCCACGTTTAGTTCGACATATTTTTACGGACAAATTTATATCAATGCAACTGTTTTTCTCTTCTCTTGTAATTTACATCTTTGCTTCAAGTTGAATTATTAGAAATAATACTTTAAAAATTAATGTGTTATGTAAATAAAAAAAAATTTTTAAAAAAAAGAAAAAACTTGTTAATTAATGTCTGAAAAAAATGTTAAAAATCAGGTCAAATTTTATATACTTTCGGTTGACATGTAATTGATTGTTTTAGTTACTAACTTGTAAAAAAGAAAGGATATTCTACAGAAGCAAACTATGATATTATTTCTTAAATGTTATTCGTTAATATTAGATGTGAATGATAATACTTATAGGAATAAACACATTGAGACTACAAAGATAATTAATTCGTGTAAGTAATAAATTTTAAGAAAAGAACAATTTAAGAGTTAAATTTACGATTAACATTAGCGAAAAATAATATAAATAGTTTTAAAAATTACGATACAAAATTTAATTGCATTAAGAATGATTCATTAATACGTAAAGCAATGAAACGAAATATATGATTCATTTAAAAATAATATTAATTTACTGTACCATTAATCGATTAATTATTATATTCCATTATTCTTTTAATTAAAAAAATATATTAGATATTATTGATACAATTGGTTAAGCACAGTATCTCGCAGATTGTGAATAATAATACTATGTTATAAATGATATTGATTAACCGTGTCATCAGTTGACACATCAATTTAATTTTCAGAAAAATTGCAATTTCCATCGATAAGTCTATAGTTTACCAATCTATACGAATACCAAGAAAAATTAAAATTAAACTCTCAACTATAATTCGTAATATACTTAAAATAAATATATACGATTTAATATTTATATAATATACGCATATAAATTTAATGAACATTACATCTACTAAAAAGTTGATTTAAATTTGATCCATTACATGTTTATCCGCTTGCAATATACAAATATACAGTAAATCTAATAAGAGCTGAAATTAATTAAACCAAAGCGACAGCAAAGTTAATATTTGAACAAGTCGACCAATTTAAATTAACATGTCCACAAATGAATATTATCTACCGCTTCGCCCTAAATAGCTTAACTTAAACGTCGAAATCGTTTCAGTCAAGGATAACCTAGTGGAAAAAACCTCGCATAACCTGAAATTGCCAATAAATGGATTACTTAAAAGTTGCCGGCTCATAACACGCTCCCGTGCCAAATACATTTCCAAAACACTCGTATGAAACCTCGACCCCTCTATCCCCACCACCAATTCTCAATGCGATTAACAATCACTTTTTATAGGCATTGCAACGAGAGCTACACGTGCCTATGTGTGGGCCCGAATCCAAACCACGGCTACACCAACTTTGACAACTTTTTGTGGTCGATGCTCACCACCTTTCAACTCATTACCCTCGATTACTGGGAGGACGTGTACAACAAGGTAGAGGCCCTTGATCATAAGCATACACCGGGGATGTGTGACGATGACGATGAACTTGTAATACGAGAAATTTAGAGCTATTGACTGCTACTGCTTAGCTACATGCGCTTTATGCGACTGTTATCGCGTAATTGCCATCTCAGCTTCTTGTCGTAATTTCCATCTTTTGGGTCGAATTAATTGTGGCAAGGGGTATTGATACGAGCCGATTCGTTTGCTTCGTAATTTATTCGCCGCTTGTTATGTTGCCACAATAATGCTATTGACGCGTCTGATCGCGCAAGTTCGTGTTTGTTTACCTTTTGTAGTTGAAAACGCAGGACAATAACGAAAACAATGAGCCCGGCACATAATGTTCGAAATATAATTAAAACGAAGTTTCTTGAACAAATAGAAAAGAAGAATTCCGTTCGACGTTACTTTTATAGAAAACTTGGTTGACTTGTCACATAAATACACATTGCCCATTCCCTTAAACTTTTGCGCTCGTGTTTGGCTAGTTATAATGTACTTCCACTCAATGATAAAAATATTATTCACCAAATATTATAACTATATTATAAATTTAATTATGGCACAAATTTAAAAGAAAATAAAGAAAAAAAAGAAAGAAAAAAACATGGGATTTTAATTGAATGCATAAATATGCACTTCGACATAAACATTTGGAAAAACGACAATTTAAAATACTACACATTGCTGTAATAAAATAAGGATTTATGTTTGCTCGTAAGGTTTTATCGGCTTGCGGACCAATAAGCGTCACATTCTTTACTGTGGTCGTATTCTTTGGCTCTTTTTACCTCATTAACCTGATGCTTGCTGTCGTGGCGTTAAGCTACGAGGAAGAAGCAGAGATCACAAATGAGGTAACGTTCCGTCTGATTTTTATTGAGTATTTAATATATAAATTTAATATAAATATAAATTAGTAATTAACAATAATGCTTTAATATAATTGGGCTGAGTTATTTGTAATGATTATTTTTTAAATACTTTGATTAGTCCATCGAGCAAGGAAATTAAAGGGCTTTTTCAATGAAAAGTTTATCAACGTATTCTGTATTCGAATATAGATGAAGATTAGAGATTATAATCACTATATGAAAATCAATAACGTTTACGTCTGTGTAGATGGAACACATACATTAACAAATTAACTAGTTATAGATTAATATTTCATTTAGATGTTTCGCTCAAAAGTATAATTTCATTATCAAATATATAGACATTGATAATTGTAATATGATTTTCGAAAGAGAGTTTGGTTTACTTTAAAAATGATGAAACTCAACACAACGTTTCGATTGATAGTCGTGTAAAATTAATGAACTATTCAAAATCATACTGATCTCTAAATAAAAATAAACAGAGTCAGAAATATGGAAATTTGTATAAATTTTCTTAATAGAAATTTTATTTCAATAGAATTTTGAAAATTTTAAACTTAAGTTTAAAATTAAAATATTCAGCATATATATATATAAATATTTCTATTTTAATACAAAATTTTAAATTATTACAATAAGAGAAGAACTCAGATGCATTTCACAAATACAGAGGCTATTAATCAAACCAAAAAGTCAATTATTAATTAAACCGAAGAGATTAATTTGCAAAATAATTATGTGTAATTAAAATTTGGACAAAATATTTTGTTTGAATAAGGAGTTCAAATACTTAATTATCATTTTTATATTTAAAAGACTTAATAAGTAAAAGTGTAAATTAAATATATGCATTGGTATAGGCGTGTACGAACACATGTATTTTATTAATCAATACTTGAAATGAGAAAATGATGTTCACACTTTAATTTAAAATTTTAAAACAATTTAAATCTGTAATTTGTCAAATAATATTATTACGTGAATTTCAATGATAAACTTATAAAGTACTTATAATAATTGATTTCCGAACTGCAAAATAACGGCAACTTAAAAGCTTTCCAAAGCTCAATTAGAAATTCCCCCACCAACACCGTATCCATCCCCTCTAACGGGTGCACGAATAAAAATAAAATATTGTAGTAATAGTCGTGGTATCGTGGACTATTTCAATGCAAACGGCCATCTCTAAGGAGCATTAGTAATGGAACAGAAGCAAATTGGAAAAATCGAGAGGGGGAACGCGGCGAAACGCCGATGGCCTGATTAGGTGGCCAATGAAGCGAACGTGAACGGGAGCAAACTTATGCTAAACCGACACTCGACTACCGTGATGCACGTTATCGTTGAAAGGGAAATGCTTCGTAGATAGCAATGCTTTGATATCGCGTCGAATAAAACGAAAGGGGAATGAAATGTTATGGCACAAGGTCTTCGTATCGTTTGATCGGACTGTCGACTATTCACCAATGGCTGTTGAAAAAAAATTGACAGTTCCAAATACGTGCATATTTTTGTGCATTCGACGAATCAATTAAAAGGGAATTGAAACTTATTATAAGCGAATACCCACTTACAATCTAAAATTACACCTCAACAATATTCTCATCCGCGTTTCAGCTTCCATCTTAGCTTAATATATACGAAACTATAAAAATCTATAAATGTGTGATATAGCAGCTTGAAATGATGCTTGCTCAAATTTATAAGTAGATTCGAAGTTTTTTAAAGTTCTTCAAGGTCGATTGATGCAAGGGTTATCAATGAAAACGAGTACTTCGTTAAAACAAATAATTAATACACACTCGATGAAGGAAGTATTGATTTTAATTTTAAGAATTATTCGGCACTACAAAAGCCTCTTCAAAACCTTATAATAATAGCCGAAATATCATAACAAAAGCCATTTTTACTTTAAAAAATATATATTACCATAGATTTTGCATAAAATGAGAATGTATTATTGTCTGCACGCAGGAACGTAGGAAAGATCTGACCGATCATCGAGAGGACTCGACGTTCAGTTTCGACCCAAGCAAGATCAACATAAAAACCCTCACGAAGGAGAAGCAGAAGAAAATAGACGCGCGGAAAGGGGTGTTATTGAGTAGCTACTCGAGAAAGAGGACGAGACGAAGAAAACGAGGACGGAGCAGCGTTGGACAGGAGAAGAATGGCGGCAATCGCAGCAGGTCCTTTATGTTTTATGTTTGTGTACCTCGTACTTCAATTTCAAATGGCAACAATCGCCGAGTGCACATAATCGTATTTCACCGTCTTCGATTAGCGGATAATATTGGAACTTACTTTCTTATCCCTATCACCCCCCCCCCCAACCCTTAAAAAGTTTTTCTCTAGCCATCGTTTCCTAACATGTACGTGAAGAACGACCGCGAATACGATATATTGTCTCATGCCTAATTCATTTTCATAATTAATATCATCCGTCTTTTATTGGTGTTGTAGCACAAAAGCATAATTATTTTGTGCGACAAGATGATCAATTTGTTATCAAATTTACCAGCATTACAAAGATTTAATACTAAAAATGTATAAGATACGAGATTATAGATTTCAGTCGATTTAAAAAAACGTTCGCGAATTACAAATTATTCTCTGCACGCCTAAAAGGAATTATAATTAGCGAATTTCTCTTATCCTTCAGTAAATGTGCCAATTTATTTTATCCTACAAAGGTTTCAACTCGATACAATTCTATTCGATTGCTTTAACATATAATTCAAGTTCACATTTAACATAAATTTCGACTTTTTAGTTCGTATAAAAATTTATCAAATCCATATTTTCATGAACAAGTTGAATAATAATTAAAATTTCAAAATTAAGCATACATGAAAAAATTTTTGACATTAGGATTAACAATAATATAATCGATACGATATAATCTAATGATGCAATTCTTTGTAAGTTTCAAAATTTATATTCTTCATTTTATTCATTGTAAAATGATTAAAAAATGTTATATGATATTTTACACGATAAAACCATATTTAAGTTTTAAAAAATACCTTTAAAATTATTAATAAATTATGACCGTTTAATATAATTGTAAATCTTAAAATAAAAATTTTAAAACAGAATTAAAAAAAACAAGAGCATCTATTAATTATTAACAAAACTAATCAATTTAAAGGTAACAATTTCCCTGATCTTTTTATAGATAATCGATAGATTATTTGAATTCTATTATGCTCTGCGGAATGTTAAATAAATCATTTTATAGCTTATATATCTGACAAAGAGTAGTGTTCAATAATTAATTGAATAATTAATTGTGTAATCCGAAAAAAATTTAACAGATATAACTTGTCCATATCGTTTCAGAATGACTCTGCAAAAATATAGAAAAATTTTTACAAAATAATTAATATTTACTTAAATAATATTGAATGTGCATACAATACTTGAAAGTGAAAACAATAAAGCCAACGATGACTCAAAAAATTGTTAAAATACGGATTTATAATAAATAAATGAAAATACATGCTTTTATGGATAAATTTAAGATTGATTTGTAAACTGAAGGCTAATGCATCCATCTATTTGAAACGAATTTTTTTATAAAAGGCATTGTACTTGACATTAATTAGGGGCCATTTATATATATATATATACATGTAGTACACAACATATATTAATAACATATAAAGAAAAAAATGCTCGTTTTAAAACGGACACTGTATATATTAGAAAGTACAATTAACTTTAATGGAATAACTCTAAATATTAATAGGTAATATTTATGAGATTTTATTTTTTATATTAAAATCATAATTATTAGAGTTCATTTAAATTTTTATCGACGGAAAGAAGGTAAGTATATTAAGACTGTCATCAAGCACCAAAATTCCTGTAAACGTAAATATTATAAAAGGTACTTCCTATCGTGCTACTACTTAGCTCTTAAAATTGCTTTTTTTCTCCTTTCTTTTCATTTCTCGTGTTCCTATAACCTGTCGCGTGACCAGTAAAACGCACACGATAAACTTAGTTATTCTTTCTCTTTGAGTTAAATATACAACCAGGGCACGATTATCGATTCTACGTATTTAACGGAAATGTTTGTGCCGCAACAGACGTTTGACGAGCTATTACGTACCTACAAAATATTTCACCTGTACTTTGTTGACGATTCTATTATGATCTTTACGTTTCGTATATATCGACATGCTTAAGAAATTAAATTACAGTCGTAAATGGAATTTTACGCCAAGAAATTCAATTGATTGGATTGATTTTTTATTAAAGCATCATAGGTTTAATCGCCAAAAATAATTGTCGTCTAATAATTATACATTCTTAAATTTAAATTATTATTCCTCGCTAGCAATTAAAGATATTGATACTACGCTAATATTAGTTGTGTGACATACTAACACACAGCAAATTGAAGATTAATCTAACAATAATAATAATAACAATAACAATAATAACAATAATAATAATAATGGAGTATTTCGTGACTTGTGCTGGGAAATTTTCCTTGATCCAAAAGCTAAAGGGTTACTAAAATTGATTCGAATAAAGATACAGTTTCAATTACAAGTAAATTATTATTTTCAAATTCCTATATTCGAATATATTCGAATAATTTTATTTTTTAAATAGTTTAAATATTACATTTATATTTTTTAAATAACATATAACCATCTGATATAAATCTGCCTACTCCTTAATTATAAGGAAGTAAGAAAATTAAAAAAAAACATTCTATAATAATTAGGTAATATACGATTTACATAAAATAATAGCATTGTAATTTATTTTGTCTGTTTAACGCTTAAAAGTTTCAACCTTCTGTTAATTATAAATAATTAAATTTGGATAATTTGGACCTGAAGTGAGTAAAAAAAAGTGGACAAACTAAAATTTATCGAAATCACACTTACACAATTGAATACAAGTATCGAAATATTTGTTTAAATGTAATAACAAGTACAACCACGTTCTTTTATATAATTAAATGTAATAAAGTAGTTATTGTTCTGGTTTCGAGAAAACGCATAAAATCACGGGTCTTTTAAATTTTCCCTTGCTTGAATAAACATAAATGCCAATGAACACGTTCAAAGAAAACCCCAAAATCTTAAGACTATACTATAATACCAGTGCTTTTGGCAAAAAAAAAACAAAAAAGATGGAAAAAAATGGAGTGAATTTTAAATGTGCTTGTTGTATATGTTTTAATAGTGAATATTAAAATATTAAAAAATTCGTATGTTCATCGTATGTCTCAAGTTCTATAAATTTCGCGTATTATCTGGGACAGGAGTGCAAAGATAAAATATACTATTTCTTAAAACTAACGCAGGTCTGTGACGCCCAGTCCTAGCCCCAGCCCTCGGCACTCAAATGTTCGACCATCCCATTTGCCACTTCATCGTGATCATCATCATCAACAGCAGCAGTATCAGCCACATCAACATCAACAGCATCAGCAGCAGCAGCAACATCAGCAACACCTCGCCGCGGAACGACTGCAACAGCAATTTCAACAGCAACAAATTCAACAGCAGCCCTTGACGCTCCCTCGGCTACCTGGAGAAAGCAATATGCTTCATAGGCTCGTGCCCCGAAACATGCTGCAGTCGCGTCAGGCGAGCAATAACAGCAATCAACAATCGTCCATGGACGACTCGGGCGTCGTCGACGATCACGACGGCGACGACGTAACCTCGGCCGAAGAGCATGAACGTCGCGATCAGCAACATCCCTATCGAGATCAGCGCCAGCATACGAGCAAACGCAAGGATCCTCAACAGTCGCAGTATCAGAATCAACCGGCTGGGACTCAGGAGTATTCGGCACCAGCACCCGTCACCATTTCCGTAAGAACGAGCAATCGCGAGATAAGGGTGCTCAAGTGCAACGGTATTAAAAATAAAAAGCACTTGTATTCTCTGCCGCCGGAGTATCTCTCGCACATCGTCGTTATAGGTGAGTCTGAGTCTTACGAGTTCGAAAGCTAAATTTCTCATGAAAATTCTTCATCTCTTGATGAATTCCAAAAGTAAAAGAATACCGTGTATTTTAATAAGCCTGCCAATAATATTGTGCTTGCCCTTTCAGACGATCTGCCAGATCGAAATTGCGATAAATGTATTCAATGCTGCGTGGATTACGAAAGATGGCTACGTTTCCAAAATTGTTTATATAAGGTAAGGGAATACGTGATAAGTAGAAATATTATTATCATAAGTACTCGGGTGTCGTGCAAATTACACGAATGAATTCTAGCATTGATGATGTGCGATGAGTAGTGTCGAATATAAAAATAATAATAATAATAGCAATAATAATAAATACATAAATACATAAATAACGATAAGGGGAGACGATTTTGGTATTGACAGTGAATTGTTGAAATTGATAATAAAGTATATTACATTATAGATAATAATTATTTAAAGATTATCCTATTATATGACGTTCCTTTTAACGTAATATGATTTCTACTTAATTAATATTAATTGCCAAACAACAAAAGGTAGACTCGTTAGATATTTTTGTACTGATGAAAGCGTTCGACATTCAAAGTAAGCTTCCTTCATATTAATTAAATATATATAAATAAAATAAACCACGCTGCGCCGTCATCGTTATCTCCCTATTTGATAATTAAACATTATTTAAGCTTCGTGAGAAAGCTTCGTGAAACATTAAAATTTGTAATAACAAGAAAGTGTTGTTAATGGAACGCATTTATCTATAATGAAATTACGTAGAAGAAACAAATAATGATCCGCGAATATAGAAATTTTACTATCGAATGCTCGTCATCCTTTATTAAATATTAATTGCCATTTTTTTCTCTCTCTCTCTCTCTCTCTCTCTCTCTCTCTCTCTCTCCATACAGGTGGTAAAAGATCCTCTCTTTGAATTAACCATCACCTTGTGTATCGTTTTAAACACGGGCTTCCTCGCCATGGAACATCATGGTATGAGCGAGTCGATCCGGCAAGCTCTCAACATCGGCAACAAAGTCTTTACGAGCATTTTCACGTTCGAGTGCTTTCTCAAACTTATGGCCCTCAGCAAGGACTTCTTCAACAACGGATGGAATAATTTCGATCTCATTATCGTGTCCGCCTCGCTCATCGATCTCACCTTCGAACTCGTCGACGGCCTATCCGTCATACGTGGTTTGCGCCTCCTACGTGTGCTCAAACTTGCCCAATCCTGGACGACGATGAAGGTCCTACTAAGCATAATCATTTCGACGATCGGGGCCCTCGGTAATCTGACCCTAGTTCTAGTTATCGTCATCTACATCTTCGCCGTAATTGGAATGCAGCTATTCAGCAATGACTACACGCTGGATAAGTTTGAGCCTGATCCGGTACCACGCTGGAATTTCAATGATTTTTTTCACTCGTTCATGATGATATTTCGCATTCTGTGCGGCGAGTGGATCGAGCCTCTCTGGGACTGCATGCGAGCCGAGCGAGACGAAGGTCCCGAGACCTGCTTCGCCATATTCCTGCCCGCTCTTGTAATGGGAAATTTTATGGTTCTCAACCTTTTCTTGGCATTGCTGCTCAACAGCTTCAATTCCGAGGAACTTAAGCAGAAGAAGGAGGAGGTGGGCGAGGAGTCAAAATTAGCCAGATCTTTCGATCGCATAAGGTCCATCGTTCGCAAGAAGAAGTATAAGAAGGGAGAGTCGGAGAATGAGAAGAATACCAAGCTTGAGCAAATTGTTCGGGAAGTAATTGACAAATCAGAGAAAGACAAATATGCTATTCAAGAGACCGTACTCACGCTGCCAAAAGATAGCATCTTCAACCGATCTTACCAGGAGAGCCTTAACCAGCCGGTATTCACTTACGAGCCAATTTATCGACCGGCTCTACCACTTTACACGAACGATAAGCGAGAGAGCCTGAGAGAGCCCGTAAAGATTAAGGAGGACAAGGGGGAGGCGAATGATACGGAGAGAATCGAAATGAAGGTGTTTAAGGACGCGGCTGGTAAAGCTGAGGAGGCAGCGGGGATGGTTTTGCAAGAGAAAGCGCCTATGAAAAAGGAAGAGAAAATTGAAAAAAGACCGTGGCACGCACTTGTCAGTTACGTAGACGAATTGACCATCGGCGGCAGAAAAGACAGTCATGGTAATTACATGGACGGCATGGAGTCCTTTCCTGGCTTTGGCAGAAGTAAGCCACCAAAAGTACCACAAGACTGCTTTCCTCAGCACTGTTATGAAAAGTAAGTTTTCTTTTCTTTTTTTTCTTTTTGATTTTGTTTTTTTTTTTGTTTTTTTTGCCTCTCGTTTTCAATAAGCGCAAATTATATTAATCTGTAAAGGCAGTGTTTGACGTACGTTAAAAAAAGAAAAAAAATGAAATTTGCTGCATTCGTTAATCCAAAGTAGCCATAAAAAATAGGGAATAGTCAAGAAGGATATTTTCAATGGGAGGACTATCAATGCAAAACAATTAGCATCTCCGGTACGACACGAGCAGCCAATGTGCCACTAGCATTAACAATAATAAATCCCGTCCAACCTAAGACTAATTGCAAATCCACTACCCAAGACTGCAGCAATGGGATTTTTTATGAATAAATGCGCTCCTTTTCAAAACCAGATGCACGTGCATAAACAAGTGCCTGGAGACGGATCTTGGTATAAAGTGGATTAAAGTTCGGACTGCCGTGCTCTCGGTCGTCGATACACCGGCATTCGAGTGGATGATCCTTGTGCTGATATTTGCCTCCTCCATTACACTATGCTTCGAGGATATCTATTTGGACGACAATCCCTTTCTAAAGAAGATTCTGTACTGGACCAATCTTGGATTTTGTATGCTCTTCAGTGTGGAAATGCTGCTAAAGTGGCTGGCGCTTGGCTACTGTAAATACTTCACCAGTTTCTGGACAATCTTGGACTTTATAATCGTTTTCGTAAGTGGACCAATCCTATAACATCCAAACCTATAAAATGATCCTATAATTTTTATTTCCAACGTGTTTATCAAGCAAAATCACCGATGCCATTTAATTTAGAATTTTTTTAGAGCATGATTATTATTATTATTATATTCATTGTATTAACGTGTGTAAAGAGAGTATTTTTACGAGTGTTTAGTAGATGTACGCGTATGGCACTACGGGTTAGTAAATCATTTATGATATGATGTTAAAATTGGTAAGACTAACACATATTAAAATGGAATTTACTAATTAAAGAGAAAAAAAGATATTGTATTTAAATAATTAATACATTATCGTGCGTAAAGTATTTATGTACTGTATCCAATAATAGCTATATAAAGTATAATAATCGTACTGTGTAATTTCTCAAAAGTACAATTTTTTAATGTAATATATACTATACGCGCTACATCTTAAAGTATTTATGATAATTATTACATAACAGGCATTTTTTACTCTACACATTCTCAAAAATCAGTATAATTTAAATGTATTGGCACTTTGAGTGTATCGAAGACATCATTGCGGGTGTCTTTCGTCTTTTATGTCTGTATTGTTGTATATGTCACCTAAACCGGAATCAGGTACGTCGAAATCAACCAAATCCCCTTCGAAGTAATTTAAACTAGGAGAAATAAAATATCCAGCGTAGTTTGCTTTTTTGCCAATACCGTGATAACAAGCTTTTGCCACTCACTCTCTAATTTCTATCCTTCTAAACAATTTTATACTTTACTTTCAAAATTTACCTTCATTTTGCATCACAGCTATTTTATATTACAATTATTTCCTCTTATTACGCTAATAAGCTTATCGTTCTTCAGCACTAAAATATGTATAATGTCAAGCTCACCTCACAAGTTTCTTTCTCTCTCTCTCTCTCTCTATATATATATATATATATATATATTATAAAATTAGTAATAGTTATAAAGAAAAAAAGCAATACTATGCAATGGATAATTTCATTTCGTATTATGTAATCACTTGAAGTAAGCAATCTTGTTATCGACGGTCATTCGTTCGTTGGCATTTTTCCACTGGTAAAGTCCCCATGCAAAAGTTCTTATGCTTGTTCATGGTGTTCATACTAATACCTCGAAAGCTGTCAACGATTGGATTAGGTTGTCGTAATAAGATCTCTTACTTTATGTAAGGATAAAGACTGATAAAGGACTTTATCGATACATAAGTATTGTAATCGGCTTGTTTAGAAGCATTTTGAACTTCGCGCTTGTCATTTATATTTAGCATTGTTTTTTCGTGATTATATAAAGAGTAACTAATTGAAATTCTTTTTATCAATAATAGAAATAGCATGCTAGTTATAGATAAGGTATTATGCATGATATAATGAATCATGTTGCGTAATGCCTTGCAATTTTTTCAGCATTTACGTAAAAGAAATTGTTTGACTTTCTCTCCTGTTTGAATGTAGATATTACTTCTTTAGAAGGCATCTGTTCTCAATCCATATAATCTATAACCAATCTTTCGAATAGAATACTCCCATAGTACTCTGAGTCGTAACGTAGCCTCTATCATCAGCTAATAATTATGCACATTAATAATAAATTTTGAAAAACAATTTAAAACATCTTCATAGTTCTATTCATCACCTTATCTACTACTTATGACTATCGCATGAAGGCATAGAATGACAATTTACTTACGCCAGTACGCTAATATAGACATTTCCATTCACAGGTATCTATGTTTAGTCTCTTAATAGAAGAAAATGAAAACCTTAAAGTGCTTCGCTCTCTGAGAACCCTCAGAGCACTGAGGCCGCTAAGAGCGATTTCACGCTGGCAAGGCATGAGGGTGAGCGATATTTGCATTGTAATGTAATATCTATGCGTGCATAATTGAACAGTTTGCTATTTGTCAATTGAGCACCGAGCTCGCGTTAAATTTACATTTAACATTTTTCCACAACTAATCCCGAGATTTTTTTTTTCTGTCATATGTAAGCGTAATAATGGAAGATTCGTTTCGTCTCGTTCAACTACTAATCCTAGATCCTAACAGTCATAATTATATTCAATTATTTCGTAATCATTATAGATTGGCACTTATAAGCTAATGAGAAAGGTATTACAAAAATAATAAATTAAAAACGTACGTAACAGCGCGTTTTTTTTTTGTTTTTTTTTTTGTTTTTGTTTAATTACTACGATAAATACATATGATTACGCTCGTAACATATGAATTGAAATCATGAGAAGCAATTTAAAAGATGCCCAACAATAATAATGTGGAACAAATAGAAAGTAAGAAAAACATAAAAATATTTGCTTTACGTTGTAAAACCAATGAATAAAATATTTCATGCTTACAGATCGTAGTGAACGCGTTGATGTACGCAATTCCTAGTATTTTCAATGTGCTCCTCGTCTGTCTCGTGTTCTGGCTCATCTTCTCAATAATGGGCGTTCAATTTTTTGGTGGGAAATTTTTTAAATGTCTTGACGAGCATGGCATATTATTGGATATATCCGTAAGTTTTCTTCTCAAAAGTGTCCTTTCATGCGGTAAAATTATTGCATTGATCGAGTGTATGAAATTTGCCCACAAAAACTGATTGGCTTTTTTCGAGTCTTTGATGAGAATATTATCAAGAGAAGCAAATGAATGTGTGCATACTCAGTTAATTATAAATTTAACTAAAAATCCTTGATGATTTATCGTATTCAGGATAAGATGTTCCAACGACGAGAGAATTCATTGTCCTCGTCTCTGCCCGCGTAGCAATATTAATGCTTAAATACTTCGGAGGGATGTAGTGCTAGCCACGCGCAGGCACGCACGCGTGCATGCGTGCGTGCCTGCGCGTGTACGTACACTATGTCCTTAGCACCTCTCATTTCTATAAGTCAGAATAATAGAAAGGATGCACTTTAAGTCTCTCAATACTCTTTTCCCGGTGGTGAAAATCGGTACGATGCAGGTGGTTAACACGAAGGAAGATTGCTTTAAACTGAATTACACCTGGGAGAACAGCAAAATCACGTTCGATCACGTAGGGATCGCCTACTTAGCTCTCTTTCAAGTCGCGACCTTCGAGGGTTGGATGGAAGTGATGGAGGACGCGGTCGATGCAAGGGGCGTGGATCTGCAACCCCAGCGGGAGGCCAATCTATACGCCTACATCTACTTTGTGATATTCATCGTCTGTGGCTCCTTCTTCACATTGAATCTTTTCATTGGAGTTATCATCGACAATTTCAATATGCTTAAAAAAAAAGTAACGGCGATTCATTCAAGCTTTGAATTATCCTATCGATGCGAGTATGCATGGAGGTGCGTGCACTTGAGAGCGCCAAGAGATAATATTATACTACGATGGCGGCTATACGTTAACATTAAATGAATAAATAAATAAATATGAAGTGCTTTTGAAGGAAATGTGCTTTGATTACGATGTTGTGGTTTCTCTTTAACAATAATTTCATTCGATAATCTGGCGTATTTTATGCATTGCTCTTAAAATCGGATGGAACGAGACCGAAGAGAAAATTGTTATATTTGACCGTTAAAAGTATAATGCTCTATGTGTAAGATTGATTGATGGTAATGGTATGATGATAAGGAGTGAGACAAACGTCAATAAGATAAACTTTATATTTATATTTAAATGGATTTGAAAATAAATGATAAAGGATGTATATGGGCGTGATGATTTTTAACCTCGAGTGAAAAATTATTTTTGACAAAGAGTTTTCAAATGGTAACTTATGCGCTCATCGTTATTAAATTCAAATTGATATATAAATCGAATAACTTATTTAAACATAATTACAATTAATAATAATCGAATAAGCTATTATTCTCATCTTAAAGTATCGTCGTCATGAAATATAAATTAAAAAAAAAATAAACATATAAAAAGAAAGCAACAAAAAGCACAACATTCTAATAGCACCGCATGCAAACTCGAATTGATCGTAGGCACTTGGAACTGGATCAACCAATGATCTAACGAATGAATCGTCCTGTTTGAATTTTAGTACGAGGGTGGCGTGCTAGAAATGTTTCTGACCGAGAGCCAGAAACACTACTACACTGCCATGAAGAAGCTCGGCCGTAAAAAGCCGCAAAAGGTGATAAAACGTCCAATGAACCAGATTCTTGCCATGTTCTATGACCTGTCAAATTCCAGGAGGTAATTAATCGAGAAGGGATCAATTTCAAATGCATCCTTAACATACCACTCCTTCCACCAAACGAACAAGGGAACACTAGTCCTTACTCATCGCTCACTCTTAAACCCAAAATCGATCAATACGAAATTGCTTAATATTTCATTGCATTCCTCCCACACCCGGTCATTTGCATGCATAAACATACAATTACGAATGATCGATTCGACTGATACAGCAATTGTAATAGTACGTAAAAATTTGTGATATGTATACATAATGCGAAGTAAATAGGATTCATCATATTTGTGGAATTTAGTGGTGATTTCATCGACTTTGCGGGTGCTCCGTTGCTAACTACGAAATACCTTTTTCCATTCGCTTCCACATACTTTCACATATATTTATCAAGAGTAATTAAATTGGTTTTTTTCTTCTTTTTTTTTTTAATTATTATAATTAATTATTTTCAATATTTATGCTTTCATTATGCAGTAGTTTCGGAAAAACCTTATTTAATCGCAAATGCCTACATCGATAAACTAACGACATTGTAAACTGAATTTTATAGAAAAAAAGATACAAACTATACTATTGAAATTTATAAATTGTAAAATAAATAGATGAATATACCTTTTAGGCCAATTTTTTTTTTTTTTTTTAATTAAAATATATACGTATAGGTAAAATTTAAATTCAGTGAAAATGCTTGCGTTATTTCTATATTTAATTTCAAGTAACTAAATAATAATGCTTATTAAAGTAATTTAAACGCTGAAACTATTTTTTATAGAATTATAAATATTTAAATATTAAAAGTACTTCGTGTTAAGCCAATTTGTTATACGTGCATACAGATATTTGATTATTTCTTCTTTCGTAATAGATTGTATATGAAATCAATAATCGCATAATAAAGAGATTCTAATAGGGAATTATAAATTAATTAACGTTCACGAGATTTTACCGCTACTTATAATTAATATAATATAATATATCGTTACAAAACAAAACAAAAAATAATGAAGAATAAACATAGCAGATTATCAAATTGCCTAATTTGAATTTAAAAAAATGTAGTGGGCATTAGGAAGGTTAAGACTAATAGAAAACAAGATAAAACTCTTAACGAGAGATTTCCATTGTACAGGTTTGAAATAGCAATCTTCGTGTTGATATTCCTTAACATGCTGACAATGGGCATAGAGCATTACAATCAGCCACATCCAATCTTCTTCGTGTTAGAAGTGTCAAATGCTTTCTTCACGACCGTCTTTGGTCTCGAGGCAATCGTTAAGATAATTGGTTTGCGCTATCATTATTTCACCGTACCCTGGAATCTTTTCGACTTCCTACTGGTGCTCGCCTCGATTCTGGGGATTCTCATGGAGGACATCATGATTGACTTCCCGGTGTCACCCACACTGCTGCGCGTCGTGAGAGTCTTCAGGATTGGTAGGATACTGCGGCTCATCAAGGCCGCCAAAGGCATCAGGAAGCTGCTCTTCGCCCTTGTCGTTAGTCTACCGGCACTCTTCAACATCGGGGCACTCCTCGCCCTCATCACCTTCATCTACGCGATCATCGGTATGTCCGTCTTCGGTCACGTGCGCAAGCAAGGCGCCCTCGACGATATGGTAAGCACTCCATAAGGCTTTTTATTCCTTAATTCAGGCATCTAAAGATCTTGCCTCGCTTCCTTATCTTGAATATCTTGACTGTTGGCCAGAACATTGCTTTTATTGTAAAATTATTATGCCACTTGGGCATTAATGCTTTCGTTGAAAGTGACGATTGCTTACGCCGAATAAAAGCGCCGAGCATAAGAGATTCAAGTTACTTGGATTGTTCTGAATGCTCGGGCGAGCGTTGGGAAAGGGTCAAAAGTTCAGAAGCTCTCGAGCTACGATGCTTAAGCGCTTGCGACAAATTGTTAAAGAGCGCACGGCAAATGTTACGCTTTGAGTCTATTGATAATTGCAATGTGCATGTTGTAGGTGAATTTCGAGACCTTCGGTCGGAGTATGCAGCTATTATTTCGATTAATGACATCCGCCGGATGGAACGATGTACTTGAATCGCTAATGGTTCAGCCGCCGGATTGCGACCCGACACCCACTAGCCGAAAGTTGAACGGAGACTGCGGCTACCCTCTCCTGGCAATCACTTACTTTACGTCTTTCATCATCATTAGCTACATGATAGTTATAAATATGTATATCGCCATTATTCTCGAAAATTTCAATCAAGCGCACCAAGAAGAAGAAATTGGCATTGTAGAGGATGACTTGGAAATGTTTTACATTCGGTGGTCAAAGTAAATATTTCAATGCTACCACCACTATATTCTATCGTAAATTCATCATTAGCCATTGATATGGATTGATGTAGTAATTGATGGAGGAATAAATGTCAATGAGATACTGCGAATGTGCCGTTAGAATTTCTTCATGAAAGAATATTCTCGTTCACATTATAGACATCAAAATGAAGGGACCTATATTTATAATAATAGCTATTTCGTCTCTAAATAATTTTTTCATAAATTTACTTAAATAAGCAAGATTCATTGAGCGATAATAAATGATAATTAATAAACGACATGTGTATTGCCAATCTTTGCTCACTTTGATATCATTTGAATTCATTAGATATATACAAAAATTCATATGCCTAATAAGAATAATAATAATAGCGATAATGACAATAATGTTGATGACGATAATAACAATAACGATAATGATAATAGCGATAATGATAATAATGTTGATGACTATGACGACGACGATAATGATTATAATAATAATAATAATCATCATCATCATCATCACAACAGAAAGGACATAACAAATAATAGGGACAAGTGCATTTAACTCGAAATGCGTGTGGAGCTTTTCCAATAGCACTTTTGCATTTGTTAGGGTTACCCTTAGCCGTGTAAAAATTTATTGTATTATGCTAATTTCCGGTATGCCTTTGCTTGCGTCATTACCGTCCCATCGTACAAGCATTTTTACGATAAAAGGGAGTCGATTTTTTATTCGTTTAAAAGAATTTTTTATTGGAAAATTTTCGGGTCACCAAATAACGACACTTAGAGATTTAATTCCAATATCACAACATTTTACATTCGGCTACTTAGCATTATAAATATCTTTTTTTTACTTTTACGGAAAAAACAAATATATACATATAATAAGACAATGACATTTTGAGTCACTGAATACAACAGACCAACGCTATTTAACATATTAAGTCTATGAAATGTACAACTAGTGAAGAAAAAAAATCGATTTTCAGCAATTTATTAGATAATCGAATTTAAAGTCCTTGGGAAAAAAATTAATCGCTATAGCGGAAAATTGAAGATGTATTATGAAAATGCGAAGTGTAACAAAGACTATCGATAGTTTAAAAATAATTCAAAAAGGTCTTAATACACACCAATATATTCGCCTTGTCAGAGATAAATAATAACCCAACATTATTATAATATTCGATCCTCTTGCGTTTATATTAGCAGCTAACGAAGCGACTAACGAATATTTTAAATCACCGCTCTCTTTCTTTATATACTTATCTAAAAATTAATTGGAAGCATTTGTAAAGCAGAGAGTGAGCAAATCTTCCATGTCACAGGTACGATCCACACGCGACGCAATTTATAAGATTCTCCCAGTTGAGCGACTTCATTGCCAGCCTTGACCCACCGCTAGGAATATCAAAGCCCAATGTCGTTGCGTTGGTCAGCTTTAATCTTCCTATCGCGAAGGGCAACAAGATCCACTGCCTCGATATCTTGCACGCTTTGGTAAAGCACGTTTTGGGCCACGTTGAGGAGTCCGACGACTTTAAGAAGCTGCAAGAGCAAATGGACGTCAAGTTTAAAAAGCAGTTCCCTACGCGAAAGGAGCTGGAAATTGTGTCTTCCACGAGAATCTGGAAGCGCCAAGACAAGGCAGCGAGACTCATTCAGCGCACATTCCGCGAATTCGTAACGTAAGTGTTGCACTATAACTTAAAGCATCCAATCTTTCTTCCCCGAGAGAGAGAGAGAGAGAGAGAGAGAGAGTCCCGTGATCCACAAAACCAAATCATCTCTTGTATAATTACGGTTCTCGTCCTTGAACAGAGTCACGGATTCTCGCCATCCCACCCCTCATCCCCAACCCCCCACCCATTGACCGCTCTACTGCGTACCATTTTCGTATGCATATAGGAATAGAGGGCACGTAGAGGCTCAGTGCGTAACTCGGTAAACGAGCATTGAGCAGCGAATGAGTGTTACGCGATGGCTACTCGGAGCTCCCGATAATACGGTTATTCACCCACAGGAACAAGAGGGAGCGCGAGCGCATCGCTCAGGAAGTTGACTCGCAGACGCAGACTTCGAGTCCCGGTGGCGTGGGTAGCGACGGTAGGGGCGGTGGCTGGGGTGGCAAACTGTCGGCTCTACTACACGTGCACAGGGGTAGCAGAGCCAGCAGTCGCAAGTCCTCACGGGCCAGCGACGCCAGCGACACCAGCGACCTGGGAACGGCCTCTGCCCTCTTCTTCCAGAACTTTCCACTGCTGATGCTCTCCGGCGCCACCGGCACCCACGAGGACCTGCAGCCCCCCGCCCTCACCGTCTCCCGTCCCTCGCCGACCGCCGAGCATCCCTCCGCTGCCTCCAGCTCCGGCTCCGAATCGCACACCACCGCCAGGTCTGTTATCATCCTAGACTGCGAGGGTCCGCGCCAATCCTCCAGACCTCCTATCAACTAGCTCTAAACTACTTTGTTTCATTCCCTTTGGTTTTATCAAGCATCTTCTCAATTTCATCACGCAACTAGACCGACCAGAGAGAGAAAGAGAGAGAGAGGGACGAATTTTTCCTCTTTTACAATGCCTTTTAGAATGCTTGATAAAGTCAATGACCGTAACTAGACAAATCTACTCCAATATTCGACCAAAATTAATTTATTTTATGTCTTGAGATACTGCCAACTGCATTCTGAAATCAAATTCTCTTATTTATACAGCTATTCACTTTCTTTTATTATTTTTAAATTCAACAATGCGTATGTATGTGTGTATGTACGTACAACACAGGTCCGACTATCGTATACGCTCATGAATATTGGATAATTTGCGGTTTCATCTCCTGAAGAAATTACAATTTTGATACCTGTATCAATTAGAAATACGGCGTTGATAGAAATTTAAACAATTATATATGAATTATTATAACAATAATCGTTAATTCCATACGTCATTACAGCTTCACTAAATATATTATTATAAAATCCTACATAATGTAATATTCCATTTTCTATAAAAAAAAAAAAAAAAAGACTATACGCTAGTAAATTTCTCTCGTTTCGAATCACTGTTTAACACAAGATAGATATAATCCTTCAACATATAATATTTTTATAATAAATTCAATAATTACTATCATAAATTTATATTGTTAACTTATAGTAATTAGCTGATAATCGTTTAAATTAAGCGGAAAAATGATTATATGATGGACAATTTTCGATTTTTAATCTAAGCTCAAACTACAAAAGATTTAACAGTACACATGTTTCACAACAATTTATTATTAAATTGAAACCAAATACCGATTTGAATTATTTTTTCCATTTTTTTTGTTTTTTTTTTGTTTTTTTGCAAACGTATAGATATTTCCATTTTTGGCATTGGAAAGTCATTGGAAAACAAGTGTCCAGCATTAAAACTCTAATAATAAAATAACGTAATTGAAAAATGATAACATCAATAATATTTCTTATAAATGCAATTTTCACTAAAATGTTCCTTAAATGAAACTATTATTTTATTTTCCTTGCATGAATACCTGAACAGAGCACAAAGAAGCCAGTCTGTCTAAATCTAGGTAAAGACAAAAATAAGAAAAAGAGTAGGTTGAAATTACGTAGGTTGGTTTTGACTAATTAGGCACGATTTGATCATAGTGAATGATGCGACTATTTAATAGATCTCTTAGTTTGCGGCCCTTCGACATAAACATTAAGCGTTAAGTTAGTTCGGGTCGATGGTTAAGCTAGTTCGGTTCTAAGGAGCTTCTCTCGTGTAAAATAAATCCTATATTTGCGCGAGTGAAGGTCTTTAATTAGTCACCTTGGAAAAGAAAAGTTTTCTCATTTAGTTTGATTAAAAGTATTCCTGGCTTTCTAGAATTTATCGTTCGCCGCTTTGTCCCGTCTGTCTTATCGCTTTCTTTTTATATATATATATTAACAAAGTATTGTAAAAAGGTTGGAAACTGCGAACGTTATTAAGAAATTAGGTTTTTGAAAATCGTTGCAATGCAACAATCATTAAAATTATTTGGATCTACGTTTGACATTTATTGTACGTTCATTCGACATTAGGTACAGAACCTTACGAATCCTTATTATCTTACGTTTTATTCTTTAATTCGGCAAATCGTGATTGACGGTATCTTCATCTACTAAAGTATTATTATTACTGCTATGTTGTGCGAGCATTCCAGTATTCGAGCCTTCCAACGGCCATTCCAAAAACATGGGATATTGAAATATTGTCATTTAGATGATTTAAAATAAGCAGCGATTTCAATACCGATAACTGATCGAATTTAGTATTTTCAAATGTCAATTGAAATTCAATTGGCGCCAAGTAGTAGCAGCTATAACGAAATGTACTATACTCGCTAAACTCTTAGCTAGTTAGTATTAAAAATTTAGTATTAAAAATGTTTGCGTTTTAACGCGTGTTGATTTTTAATTTTGCAAAACCAACCTTTTTCAAAATACTATAGAAGTCTATTATTATGCATTACGTATATAAGCGCTCCAGTATATCACATTGCTTATCACTGACACACATATTATTCAACTATGCTTTATTATAAATTGTATTTTCCTTCCGAAATAATAATCGATATTTTAAGTCTCTTTTCAATCCTCTTTTATGATGATACGTTAATAATGCAAAATTATACGTTAAGATTATTGATGAAACGAGTGGTGCGAGTACATGTAAACAGCATGATACAATTTCTCTTTCTAGTGGTTAAAATTTTAAAGAAGGTAATTATGATAAATGGAAATTATAAACCAAATCGCTCAATAATTTTCGAAACTTTAAACTGTACGCGTCGTTGTTACCGCGAATAACTAATTCGCTCGGCTTTTAAGTATAAAGTCGTGACTCGGCAACGAAGCACCAATTACAAAATTAATACGAGCTTCTATAGCTAATACAATAAAAGTATGTAAAATTCACGAGCTTTTCTGATAATATCAATAAGAGGAAGAAATAAAGAGACGCGCGTCCT